AAAAAAATGAGGAAAGTTGCTTTCCTCAACTAATTTTCTCTGAGGAAATTCCACTTTTGCCCCAAATGCAAGGCTTTCTTTCTATTGACAAAAGATGAAGTGTCCTATCAGCTAACCTGCAGATAACACAATGAAATATGCACCACACAAATATTACGGCTGATAGCCATGAGTCAAGAGCACAGAGAGATGTTCATAAGCTCTTGACTAGTTTCCAAACCCAACCACTCAACACAGTTCAGGTCACAATTCATCCAAAGCACCTTTAATTTCAATTGTGGACTGTTAAATAAAGTGGTACACCATTAATATAAATGCTTACTAAGGCAGTCCTCTCTTAAACAAACAAACACTGCTGCACGCACCTACCACTTGCACGTCAGATACCTCACAAAAGTGAATTACAAGTACCTTTATTTACGACAAACATCTGTCCGTTAAACAAGCAGAGGCACAATGTTAACCCCTCATGGCCTGACATGCAGGAAAAGCAATGCGTGCAATGCCTGCCACAGTCCAATGTGTTTTACAAGTTAAACATTTTTTACCATTCTGCACACAGTACACTGCCTCCATATTTTCATCAAACAATGATCCATTCAATTTACCCCGATGCACTACAATGATCTAAATGCAGTCCCATCGGGCAACATCCAACTACACATACAAACAGGCTTCCACATTAAAAACCCATCTCAATCTGGCCATGATTTAAAACAGGCTACGGTGCTGACACACAACAAAGTGTCAGAAACCACCAGATCAGAGTCTTCCTGTATGCTATGCTTGACTTCAAGCCTCACCTACATACCATAAAAGGAAAGGGAAGGAGAGGTGATAAGATGTTAATCGAACAGTGTGAAGAGTATCTGCACATGAATGATTGTGATGAAAGGGGTTTATCCAATGGTATACGATCGGAAATAGCAGCCTAATATATGAGGAGGTTTATATAGTAAAGACACTGGATTCATCAGGGCTCACGATTGATCTGATATGTGCAGGGATGAGCTATGGGTACAAACCACACAGTCCAGTGCTCTATGCCACACCAATACTCGATAATCTCACATTAATATGCCTTTTTGGAGGAAAATACTTTGAAAATAAGGGAGATAAAAGTATAAATTGCATGATATTATTATCGCAGAACCTGACATTACTACTGCAAATGCTATTTTGGTTTGCATACTAATAAATGCATACATCACATCAATGATTTTAATTAGGAAAAACCATAAGACGCACATGGTCATAATCAAACACAGGTTTACTGGTATGTAAGGACGTCTGAACCAAAACGAAATGAAAGTAATGAAAGTACTTTCATTAAACTGTACAGATAAAATACACCTAGTCACATTGGACATTTAGTGCACTACACTTTCAACACTAGAGTTCAATACCCACTTAGGATCTAAGCAGAGGCATCAGCTGGACTTAATGTTCCCATACCTTTGACCAATGAATTTCCATGAAATACTGTAGCGCTAAGTACGTCTACAAGAAGTGTATCTAAATGTCCACGTGCTTTTGAGATACAAATAATATCCTCTGACTTTACTCAAAAACAGCCTGCTATTTCCAGGTTTTCCATGACCATGGGAACATTCTTGCTTATGAAAACTACAATCATAGCAGGTCTTACCAATGTTGCACAAAGCATGGCAGAAGTTACACTGCATTGCATT